ACAATGCCTCCTCGCTGAAAGGGGAAGACCGGGGCCCAAAGCCATTTCACAAAGTCAATAGTTCTGCTGAGTCTACATACAACTGCAATAGCAGATACCTGGAAAGGCTTTTGCTCAAGAATTAAAAAAATTTGTATCCTCACTGCAGGCAACTTGGGCAGAATCCTGTGTAGAACAGATGTTTTGCCAACTCTCAGTTGACATTGTTGATGCAAGAGCTGCCCTGGCGGTGGTATCGGAGCATGCTCTTGGGACAGAAACCAAGAGCTAGAACACATATTACCCTGTATTATCCAAAGATACTGATACCCAAACCTTTCATTTCAAAGAGCATTTCCCTTCCTCCACTTCCATACCATGTTCAGGTAGACGGCCCACTTTTAAAAGAACCAGGTATGTATCTCTGACCTATTCTATACATTAACAAACTAATTATCTTATTCATTTATCATCTTATTACTTTCTCATTGGCCGGCGTCTATTACCGGGACTGTAATCATTTCAAAGGCTAAAATTGATTCTGCTGCTCTTGTGGTCTATACCAACGCTGCAATACAGTTAGCAGACATGATTATTGCTTACTCGGCCGTGCCCTGTCTAAGGATGATTTCCCACTGCAATGCATGAATATCCTATTCTACAATGGCTTGCGAATCTGATCTGTACAAGGAAAGGAAGTGCTCAAATCCTTCACAAAAGATATGAAGTATGGGTCCATGAATGCGTTTCCTATCATAGCAATGTTGGAAGCAGAGCAACACCCTTCCAAGGAGAGCTATGACAAGTCAATCAAAGCGTGTGCGCGGCTTGGGTTGGCTCACCACGAGGCGTACATGTGCAAACGAGCAGCCAAAATGTTTCTTTCACAGGATGGCAGTGACTGACTGGTGCAAGTATTACATTACGCAAGCAATCCTTTTGTATGGGGAATGGGGTGCAAGGGGCAAGGTCACACGTCTAGCTATCGATTAAGCGGAAGTCATGGAGGGGTCCTCACCACTCGAGTTGGCAAATGCATCATTGAGCAGTTGCTCACGATATTCACCAAAAGACCTTGAGACGCTTCGAACGATTGATTGGAGACATTTCAGCAAAGAATAGGAACATGTTGAAGATGTATTTTGAGATATTTGGAGAATGAAGAATGAAGATCAGGGACACATAACGAGGCATTAGAAAGGAGCTATTACGTAAGATTGAACAATGCCTGACAATTATGTAAGAAGTATTGACAAGACCAAAGCAAGATAAACACATTAGGAGAAGTGAGTTAAATGCAGTCATAGCAAGATACCACATGCTGTGTATGACTGGGAAGCACAAATAGAAAGTAGAGTAATGATTTTTAGCTCACAATTGCAAGACCAATAGATTTTACTTCTAGGGAGATTCCAACAGGAACAAGAACAAAGAGACTTCAGCTTTAAGACCGCCAGGTCAAGGGGAAGAAATTCCGGAAGCTTTAGTTTCAATTCAGCGGAGTTCCGATCAGTCAATTCATCGGAGTTTCATGCGCAATAGATCCAAATCTGCTTCTTACCTATTCTGTAGATACAATTCAGTCACCTTTCACAGCAGTTTCAGTTTTGTCAAGCCGAGTAAAGACCAAAAATTTGTATATTTCACTGGTCCCAATTTCTTCAAGTACAATTGCTTCCTTCAACCGCATCATCATCTTCTCTTCCCACTATGATTGATTGGTGATGATGAAATAAACAGTGTTGGATTATTTGGTTTCACTGGGAATGCAGGCTATAAACGATGAAAACGTTTGTATCGTTGAACCAACAGCCCGCTGGCTTTCCAGCCACAAATGGTCCTGTATCTAGTCTTGCAATGCCCTTGTATACGTCATCGTAGACACTCTGGCTAGATTCACTGTGGTACAACTCAATTTGACAATCTGATAGTATTCTTGGTTGTTGCAACATAGTTTGCGCTTGCCATCCCCTAATAAGTACTCACTTCTCATGACCTTGCAATGAGAGTGTTTGCACAAGATCTCGCCTTCAAGACTCCTCATTGTTCCTCGAGCACATGTTCAATACCGGTATAAGAGTGTGGTCAACTGTCAGCAGGTGTCAGAGTTAGGAAATCCGTGTTTAAAACAGCTAAATTTGAAGGATGAGGACCAATCAAATTGGCCGAATTAGCTCAGTCGGTAGAGCGCACGACTCTTAATCGTGTGGTCGTGGGTTCGATCCCCACATTCGGTGAAAACTTTTGCTTTGGTTCCCCGCCACACCATTTTTTTCCAAGCATGGTAGAAAAACAGACCGAATATTGAAGGTACAGTACGTGTATATTACCTTCACGAATATTCTTTTCCATGGTTGAAAAACAGACCGAATACCGGTAGTTAGGTACAGTACGTAAATATGATGTATCTGGTATGGCATCAGGTGGGGCAATCCTAACAGGTTTGGACGGTACTCGGCGGTAAAGTACGTGTACATAATGCATCTGGTAGAGTATGAAATCAGAGGAAATGCTAAGAGGTGTAGGGCCGCGAGATGAACACGCTTGCGACATTATTCTTTCCTAACAGGTTTTGGGCCGCAAGATGAACATGCTTCTTTCCAAACTCAACATCATGCAAACACCAAAAGCTTATTGTATTCAGTCTCATTGCATTTGACGTAGCCGGCCTTCACACACTATTTATAGATGGCCGGTATCAAGCTGATATTTCTATAGACGTTCAATTGAACTTGTGCTGTAGAATTGTTTTCAACTCCAACACTGTCGTCCAGCGACAACTCTTTGCTCCAATACCCGATCCCCAATATGGCAGGAGTGAGTCATGTCAGAGTGTAACATCCAAAAGTTTCAGATGTTTTACTCCCGCCCCTTCAGCCAACTGTGATAGCAAACATCATGAATGTTGGTTTGGAAATTCTTTAGGAGTACTTGGATCTGAACCCCATTCGTTCCAGCTCCCATCATATATGAAGGGGGTTGGGTAGCCACATTCCTCCAAAACTAGAGCCATGTGACACACTGAAACCCCGCTTCCGCATGTTAGCAAAATCGGTTCATCCTTAGGAATATCATTCGTTTCTAGGATATCTAGCAAGTCTTTCTGCTCTTTGAGCTGTAAGCTATTGCCTGGCTTCACCAACGAGCTGTACGGAATATGGATGGCTCCAGGGATATGTCCCTTCTTTTGGAAGCTAGACCCTCTTGTATCTACAACGACTCGGCTCGGTTTCTCAGCTTTTCTTGCCGAATCTAATTCTTGCAATACTTGTTCCATTGTAAGCAACTGCCTTTGCGCTGTTTTGGTTATTGGATACCTAGGATTGTTGGTGAATGGTCCGCCGCTGATTTTGTCCATTATATCCTGTGCCCAGAGATCATATCCTTCTAGTTTCTGGGTATCAACAGGCCCATTTTGGTCAATCCAATCTTCTATGCTGCCTTGCATCAATCCTACATTGTCCCGTTGTCCATATGTCTTGAACGTGTACCATACACGAGGCGTGAACCAGCATCCGCGACGTGCATACACGATGACTTTTTTATTCGGATCAATTCCCATGGAGTCCATCGTAGCTGCGAACAAGGACTGCAACAGATGACGAGATTCGAAGAGCAAAGCAGGCAGGAAAAAAGGTGAGACACTTGCTGACCGAGAAAATGTTGCCAAGCGATACTTTCCTATATCTCACCATTGGGGGGAACATGGTTCTCAATCCTTTCGGATTCAATTCTGGAAAGACTTCCTTCGAAGCCGCGATGTCGCTCATGTCAAAATAGTGTGAGCCAGGAATTCTTGGTCCGTCCAAGAACCTGGAAGAGCAACGAGATTGATATAGACTTTTAGAACATTCAACATGACTGCAGCGATATAGACCAGCAAATGGATAGTAGGACTTACTCTTGGCGTCCATTTCGGTCTCCTTTGTGATACCAGGTAGCATCAATAAACTGAATATCATCGATCTGTTCCAAGCATTCTTCGATCGACCATAAGTTATTGCTCCCTCTCAAAAGGGAAGGGCGTTGTGATGATGTCGTCACGCTCTTTCGGACAAATGCAGTTGTGAAGTGCCTCAGATTTCCGGTGGCGATGGATATGAAGAGGCAAATTGTATGCGCCCGGCCTGTACCAAACAAGTAAGCCATGTTATTGGCGCCACTATCAAGGACTTTTTGATAACAAGGAAGTGTGAGTCGGATTCAGGCTTGCGTCTTATTGCATTGAGTGTGAAAATGATGATGATGACAAATTGAAAATAAATTTTATAGTAAAAATGCGGTCGATCTTTAGACAGTCTGTCCATCCCTCCAAGGACTCAAATCCTGCAACCCGTAAAATTTTTTATTCATCCATCGCATCATCCATCAAGAACTCGTCGGCGTCGGAAAGACATAGAAACGAAAGTATATCGGCATGCCAACAAGTCGTGTGATCTTCGCAGTAATCAGCCTGCTGTTAGCTTTTACATATATAGAAGCTTCTGCTGTTCATAGGCCGAACTCAATGGTGGCAGATTGGGTACAAACAAAGACATTAACTTCATCAAAATCTGCATCACCTCCTGCAGACCAGAATACTCCACAACTCTGGATGTACACGGGATCACTTTATGATCCCTTAGATGGGAGAAAGATTGCTAACATACAGGGATTGGAATGCGTATCGTTGTGGGATACTGTGACAAATTCGTCTGCACTTCAGATGGAATCATTGCTCAAGAATCCAAACGCTACTTTTGACGATGCTGCGACTTTGAGAATGTCAAAAGTATTTTGCTACACTAGCCTTGACGACGACAAGCCTAGTCTACTACGGCAAATAAGGATCCGACCAAACTCGCCACGAAAAACGATTCCTTTGGATCAATCCATTGCGCTTTGGGAAACCGCAACGACCTATGTGTCACGTGGAGACCAACTGTACGTCCACTCGGAGTGGCCCAGTGGCGAGCATCTTTGGGCACAAACAAGGCCTTCAATAAAAGCACGGCAGGTGCCAACCACCTCAACATCGCCATCAAGATCAAAGAGCGATTCCATACAAAGTGGTGGCAAAAAGGGAAGTCCACAAGAGTTTACAGTTTTCACGAAACGAAGGTCTCCAAAAAGCCGACTGTTCTTGCCCGACCTGACATCCAAAACAAGTGAATCTAGCAACAACGAAACTGTTGTGTCTCCGAAGCGTTCAACATGGATTCAATTTGGAAGCAGCACCCTGGAAACACAAAACAAGTTTGGAGCACGGGAAACCTATCAGATAACATCCTCACCCAAGAAAGATGATCTGCCTCCGAAGCCATGGTGGCTTCCAAGACTACCTAGACGAGAACAAAGTCCAACGCTATCGTCGGAGGCTCGAATTCAATACACTCGCTACGGAGAAGGTCCACCGTTCTACGCTCCAGGTCGCATGTGTATGCTTGAATTGGAAGGACGGCCGATTGATAGTCTTGGCGATGCATCGAATCTCTTGCAACAAGTGATTCGACAACGCACAAGAGGATTTCCCCACAAGGCAGCTGGCAGTGCGCAGACGGAAAACGATACGTTTCCATTTGGGAGTTTTCAGCTGATTCCTGATTCCACGGTGGACAAATCGGCACTTGGAAAGCTTCAATACAAGGCTTTGCAGGGCTGGGATACGCTGAAGCGATTGTCGAGTTTTCAGGCGGGTCCTTTCAGGTTTGGCTTGTAGATGATTTGCGACGAACGGCAAGGATTCATGACTGAAGGCCTTGCAGTGGATCATGCCGCTGAGGTGCACCATTGTTTGCAACAAGTTTTGAACACTATTCTGGTTGTTTGACGCCCTATAGTGCTGTCACGATGACTGGCGGACTGACTGACCGACTGAATCGTATTTTGTCAAAGCAAACAGATGGCACAACACATGGTTTTCCTTGTGCCGGAGTCCTGAATGAAAACATTGTTAAGACCTGAATGAAAAGATGAATTGCGATTTTTTAATTTTAAAATAAAACGTATGGAAGTCGGTACCTGTGTTCTTATTGCCAGCAACCTTCAGAATCATCGTGTATGCTTCTCGGTGTTTGAACCGATGATTCTGCGCCCCAAACTTGTGTGTGGCTTAATTTGGTTTGTTCCAGTCGATCTTCAAGTTCCGCCAAGGCCGTGAGCCATTCCTCGGTATTTGGCGTCGGCATAGCATATTCATCATAGCCTGTCGAGCTGGCAGTTTCTTGCAAGCTGATGGAAGACACATCGGTCGATGGTTCTTCTTGCTCCTTGGTCGTGTCGTCTTCCTTTTTCCAGGAGTAGGACGTAGTGAGTGGCTTGGGGGATTGAGCAGCGAAGCTCATGAATCGACCAGCGATATCGTTGGCTGTTGGATCATTGCTTTCGTGTTGGTGCTCCTTCTTTTCTTGCATTAGTTTCTTGCTCAAGTTCTTTAGACCAAGGCGAGAGGAGGACGAGGAGGCGGGTTTACGAGCCGGGACGTAAAAGGATTCGACGGTGGCAAGAGATGCCGCCATGGAAAGACTGGTGAAAATGATTTGAGTTTTCATATTTTTCGTTGTGATTGGATTTTATGACTGACGTTTGGCAAAGGCAGCTTGTTTTTTATGAAAGGATCGTATCCTGGTGAATTTAGTGAACAGTAGAGCAAAGCCAGAATTCCGTTTTCGGATTCGGGTTCGCTTAGAAATAGCACGAGAAACGATGACGTGGAAAGTATGTAAGCCCGCAATCAAAAGAAATAGGACGAGAAACGATGAGTTGGACAGGAAGTGGGCCGCAATCAGAAGCACCATAATATATCTTTCGAAACACCACTTAACGATTTCGGCAGTTTTGTTTTTCTTGATGGTCGCGAATCGCGTCAATCCGAACTCTCAATCTCTATCCTTTTCTCTCAATCGTATCAAATTGCATGAGCCTCGTGACATTCCAAAAAAGCGTCCGTCCTACATCAGCTAGACGACACCAACAGAAAAAAACCAAAAGACCCGTATTGTGTACTACCGGTACCGGTACCTTTGTTCCATCTGCTGTATCTTCCTTCATACGAGCTTCTGTCCTCTTCCTATTGTGCCAGTCTCTTCTACATAACCTCCCATACTCCATACAAGAGTATTTGTCTCATAAAAAAACGTTTAGAATACTTGCAGGACGTTCACAAATCATGGCATTCAAATCTGGCGGTTTGGGCGGTCTATGGCCCTTTTTCCAAACTCACAGTCCATGATTTCGACGACCCCGAGTCACTGGGACCACACTATAAATCATTGCGGAAATGGGGAAACTGCTATGGGAGTTCTTTGACTTTGAGAAACCCGAGAAGGAAATATAGTAGTATCGCCGGAGGATGAACGTTGGAGGAACAACTGGAAGGATATGGAAGAGTGGGAGAAATAAACCTTGTTTTTTTCGGATCAATGAGCTAAAGCGTATGCAGAAGGATTTGCTGTGCAATCGGAACGGCAGCCAGCTACAAGAAGCGTTTCATCAATTCCAGACACTCTCGTTCCTCCTCCTGTTGACACGATGACCTCCCATTCGACGCCGACATTGACCCCAAACAAGCAAGTCTTCTTCAGTCGAAAGAAACAAAAGGCCGGTGAAACAACAGGAGGTGCTGTTGAAGGCGGGACAGAACGTGATGAGCACATTGGACATGCAGAAGATCATACACCAGTTAGCATTTTCTTGTTAACAACGCAACGCAAAGCAGCGCCTTAGAACCAGATTTGCTACACCTGCAATCCATCCAAAGCTCACAAGTTGAGAAAACACGGAAAAACAGGTCGGCAGCAATAAGACAATCCAAGCAAGGAAGCAATCAACCAGTTGCTCATGAAGGGCAATCGACACATTATTTTTTTGACTTTGCTGATTCCAACAATCTACCAATAGTTTCCAGTGCAGTGTTCGTCTTGAATCAGCTTGATTCCAAATCCGCAGGAGGAGGTAGTGTATCTGACAGTGATCTAAAGCCTGGGAGTTGACTTTATTGACCAGACACACAAAAAGATTTGGAGCCAATGCTGAGTGCCTAAAAAACATGTTGCAAAGAGAAAGATGGGCAGTCCACTGATCACACTTTTAGGGCAATTGTGGAAAACTAGGATGAACATGCTGTCCCCAAACTCGAGTAACGAATCGAAACCGCGCAACTCAATCAAGTAGTGGGCCCAAGTAGGTAGACTATGCATTCACGAGCGACCAGCATGTAACGAAATCAATAGTAGCAGCAGAGCTAAAGATGCATAATTAGAGCTCGTATAGGTACGACTTGGGTTTACATTTATTCTCTGGCTCGTAACGAACGAAAGATGATAAGCTACATCCGCAGGTAAAATGCGGATGGAATCATCTCTTCAGTCCCTTTTGAGGATACCAAATAACTTCTGAGTTGCAACGCACATGATAGCACACACCAACTCTATAGTTTCGGAATCAGCCGCATCGCTTCGATTGCCAAGAACAGAATTGGACCCCGCCGTGTTCATAAGAGTGCAGTTCAGCCAGATTACGAATGCCGTGTCTATAAATCGCGAATTACTGTTATTCTCTGTTAGTAGTGAAGACAGACGGTATTCTACTGTTTAGAGTTCCATGTTGTTGCGTTTGGTCTTTGGTTTGGGAGTTTCGTTTAGCCGACGACGGACTTTGAACTTGACTGATGGACGTAGTGAGCGGCTTATTCGGGGACGAAGTGGCGAAACTCATGAATCGACTGGCGACATCGTTGGCTGCTGGATCATTTGTTGCTTGTTGGTCTTCTTTCTTCTGTTGCATTAGCTCCTTGCTCATTTTTCTTAGACCAAAGCCATCAGAAGACAAAGACGACGATAGAAGGCGAGAGGACGATGATTGAGTACCAAGCGGAACAAGAAAGGATTCGACGGTGACAAGAGATACTGCCATGGAAAGACTGGTGAAAAGAAGTTGTTTCTTCATACTCTTTTTCGATGTGCGTGGAGGCAACTTTTTTAACCATTGAAAAAAATACGCGATCAAGCGCATGGTATGAGAAAGGATGAGGTGGATCTGAAAGAGCCTTTCAAAGCCCGCAATCAAAAGCGCTCCTCTTGAATCTTTCGAAACACCAACGGATGAGTCACTTAACCATTTCGGAAATATGGCTTTTCTTTTGTGGTCGCGAATCTGATATCCGAACAAATCAATCGTATCAAATTTGTTGAGCCTCGCATACATCAATCACACCTCACACCTTCCCACAAAATCAAAAAATCAAAAATAAAACCCAAACCAAACCCAAATTAAAATGCAGTCTATTTCCACCTCCTTGCTTGCGCTTCTTTCTTTGATACTCGCATCAACAATTAGAGCAGAGCATATCGATCTCGGCCTCTCTCAGGAAATTGATCTTCAACGTGAACTGCACTACGCCAAGAGCTCGAAGCGATCAAAGAAAGACTGGATGTTTTCACCAGGCAGTCAACGCCACTACAATAGCAAATACGCACAACACAGCGACGCTGCTGGATCAGAATTCTCAAGTCGAAGACACAAGAGGGGCCACCACCACCATCAAGCAGGCATGACTTTTGATAATTTTGAATCCTGGGGTCTGAACCGGATCAAGGAAGCTCTCCGAAACGAACGAGCCTCCAGAACGTCAACAGCCTCCTCTTGGCGAAAATCCTCAACTTCCTCGACATCCTCAGCATCATCGTCAGATAGTTCCGAACAACTTAATGATGCACCAGATGCTCAAGAAGGTGAGACCATCCATCTTGACACGCTGGACGCAGCACGAATGGAAAAGGAAACCCCATGATCTGCCATGTGGAAAGGAAAGCCCGTGATCTAACTTATAGATGTAGCATTTTAACAAGCTAGAACAATATTCAAAGAACCGAATCATTTTGGTTTCCTCTGGATGGTTCCGATCCATCATCAGTTTAAATTGGCATATGGGGCCAAGTTCTGTCTTCGGTCATTCTATTACTAAAAAGAACAGCCGAATATATCAATTTCAGATTGGATTTCGTCCGCTGCGACGACGACCACTTCGAATGCAAATTCTTCTGCATCCGCCGCCACATCGTTGAACCATAATCAGGATATTTTATAGTACGGTAGGTATTACCTACACAGGACACAGCGCAGTACCTGGTACCTGGTACTGTGTAATTATGAATATTATTCCCATCCTCGATATTGCGGCGATGGTGGGACTGGTTGCAACAGTCCTCGTTTGCAACAGACTACAATATCGAACAGGAAGCTCACCATGAAAGACGAAACCAATGAAGAGCTTTCGTGTCTGACTGAACAGGAAGATTGGGAAAACGAATCATCAACTCCGTCAAGGGAATCATCGTCTGTTATTTCTGATGAGGATTTTTCCGTCAGCCACCGAAACACTGCATATCGTCATCGATTGATGATTTCTGTATCTTCCCTTGTTGTCGTTTATCTTGTGGCATATATCATCGAATTAAGTGGTAAAGAAGGAGCGATCCACCCATTGACAGCCTCGCCCACTAGTGCTCCGTCCATTTCACCAAGTAAAGCTGTCGAACTACTGTACGACGAAACGCCACATCCTTCAATTTCTACTACAGCACAAACCATCAGCCCACAGCCAGTAGACCGGCCTCAAACAAGTCCGTCAGAAAATATGCAATGTATTCAATCCAACGAAGAGCTCAAGGATATTGTCAATGATTGGGTCGGATCGTCGAATCTAAAGGAACAGCTCATAGCAACATATGGGCCAATCAATTCATGGTGCTTCGATCCCAATGTAACAAACATTTCACTTCTCTTCTCTGAAAAACAAGAGTTCAATGAAGATATTAGCAACTGGGATGTCTCGTCCGTTACGAATATGAAAAGCATGTTCAACGGAGCCGACTGCTTCAATCAAAGTCTTGACAAGTGGGACGTCTCGTCAGTGACCAACATGGACACCATGTTTTCAAGGACACAAGTATTCAATCAAGATCTGGATAGCTGGAATACGTCATCAGTGACATCCATGCAGGGCATGTTTGACTTTGCAAGAGCGTTCAATGGCAAGATTGGAAGATGGGACGTCTCTTCAGTCAAGGAGTTCCGTGACATGTTTCGGTACACAGACAACTTCAATCAGGATATCGGCGACTGGAATGTATCATCGGCCCTTTTAATGAGTTCAATGTTTCAAGATGCCATAGGATTTAACCAATCGCTCGAACGATGGGATCTGTCATCAGTGCGGGAGATGGACCGTATGTTTTCAAAAGCGAACGAATTTGATCAAGATCTCTGTGACTGGGGAAAGCACTTGGAAGGTCGGTGGGTGACAACCACCAACATATTTCAGGGTTCTGCGTGTCCAATCATGGCGGATCCTTTGTTGACGATATCACCGCCTAGTCCACTCTGTCATGTTTGTCAACTTCCGAACAGTTCCCCTGACGGTTCTAACAGCACGCGATGCATTGGATCCAACCAAGAACTAAAGGATGCTGTCGATGGCTGGGTGGGATCATCAAATCTGAAGCAACACTTTGAAGCTACATATGGTCCGATTGGTTCTTGGTGCTTCGGTCCAAACGTAACCGACATGTCGAATCTGTTCTCCTCGAAACAAGACTTCAATGAAGATATCAGCAACTGGGACGTCTCGTTCGTTACGAATATGCAGAGCATGTTCAGCGTCGCCAAGAGCTTCAATCAAGATCTGGATAGCTGGAATACTTCCTCAGTGACATCGATGCAAAGTATGTTTGACTTTGCAAGAGCGTTCAATGGCAACATTGGACAGTGGGACGTGTCGTCGGTAACGGATTTCCGCTCCATGTTTCAGTTTGCCACTAGCTTCAATCAGGATATCGGCGATTGGAATGTATCATCGGCACTTAGGATGAGCTCGATGTTCCAAGATGCCCAAGGGTTTAACCACTCGATCGCGCAATGGAATCTGCCATCTGTGCGTGAGATTGACCGTATGTTCTTACGAGCAATTGCATTTGATCAAGATCTCTGTGATTGGGGAAAGCACTTGGAAGGTCGATCGGTGAAGACCGCAGACATATTCAAGCATTCTGCATGTCCAATAGCGATGGATCCTTTGTTGACGATGTCGCCGCCTGGCCCGTTTTGTCACACTTGTGGACCACCGAACAGTTCTCATGACGGTTCTAACAGCACGCGATGCATTGGATCCAACCAAGAACTAAAGGATGCTGTCGATGGCTGGGTGGGATCATCAAATCTGAAGCAACACTTTGAAGCTACATATGGTCCGATTGGTTCTTGGTGCTTCGGTCCAAACGTAACCGACATGTCGAATCTGTTCTCCTCGAAACAAGACTTCAATGAAGATATCAGCAACTGGGACGTCGCTTTGGTTACGAATATGAAGAGCATGTTTGATGGTGCGACAGCCTTCAATATAAGTCTTGACATGTGGGACGTTTCATCAGTGACATCGATGCAGAGTATGTTTGGCTATGCAGGAGCGTTCAATGGCAACATTGGACAGTGGGACGTGTCGTCGGTAACGGATTTCCGCTCCATGTTTCAGTTTGCCACTAGCTTCAATCAGGATATCGGCGATTGGAATGTATCATCGGCACTTAGGATGAGCTCGATGTTCCAAGATGCCCAAGGGTTTAACCACTCGATCGCGCAATGGAATCTGCCATCTGTGCGTGAGATTGACCGTATGTTCTTACGAGCAATTGCATTTGATCAAGATCTCTGTGATTGGGGAAAGCACTTGGAAGGTCGATCGGTGAAGACCGCAGACATATTCAAGCATTCTGCATGCCCAATAGCGATGGATCCTTTGTTGACGATGTCGCCGCCTGGCCCGTTTTGTCACACTTGTGGACCACCGAACAGTTCTCATGATGGTTCCAACAGCACGCGATGCATTGGATCCAACCAAGAACTAAAGGATGCTGTCGATGGCTGGGTGGGATCGCCGGATCGAAACGAACAGTTCAAAGCTACGTATGGTCCGATTGGTTCTTGGTGCTTCGGTCCAAACGTAACCGACATGTCGAATCTGTTCTCCTCGAAACAAGACTTCAATGAAGATATCAGCAACTGGGATGTCGCTTTGGTTACGAATATGAAGAGCATGTTTGATGGTGCGACAGCCTTCAATATAAGTCTTGACATGTGGGACGTTTCATCAGTGACCAATATGAACACTATGTTTGCAAGGACAAACGAGTTCAGTCAAGATCTGGATAGCTGGAATACTTCATTAGTGACATCGATGTGGGGCGTGTTTGAGTCTGCATCAGCATTCAATGGTAAGATTGGAAAATGGGATGTATCCTCGGTGAAGGATTTCCGCTTCATGTTTCATTTTTCAACGAGCTTCAATCAGGATATCGGCGATTGGAATGTATCATCAGCAGCATCAATGAGCTCGATGTTTGAAGGTGCCCAAGGGTTTAACCACTCGATCGCAAAATGGAATCTGTCATCTGTGCGTGACATTGGCCGTATGTTCCTACGAGCAATTGCATTTGATCAAGATCTCTGTGATTGGGGAAAGCACTTGGGAGGTCAAACTGTGAAGACCACAGACATATTCAAGTATTCTGCTTGCCCTATGGCATTTGAACCTATGCTGACTACGTCGCCGCCTGGCCCGCTTTGTCACCGGTGCATTTAGTGAAAGTGAAACTATAAAATAAAAAAGTACTACATTACTACCCATCATGCTCTAGTAGTAGGTACTGGAATTTTAGCTTAGAGCAAAGCACGGACAAGCTTTGGGCCAGCCATGTCTACCCCTTAGCGATTAGTACCTATGAGTACAGGCTTGGAATTCAGGGGTCGGCCCGAAATTCGCCTCCCAACGACTAAATCCGTTCGCACAAAGAATTTGGCCATTAGCCTACTTCTGAGTCCTGTATGGGTATATTTTCGGCGGAGAGTTTGAGACAGCTGGAAATTGTGTTTGAAGAAGGAATGAATCAATCAATCATCAATCACGATGGCATGAATATTCGACTCATTTGTGTCACTCCTAGCTAAATAGCAACCCAGACTTCGGATCTGCGACCCAAAATCGAGAGACGGTGCGGTGGCAATCGCTTTGAAAATCCAAACTGACAAATCGCGCTCGAGTTTACTTAAGGGAAGTCCCTTGAAAAGATCGGATTTTTCCGTTATTGAGTGGGCTGGCGTCTTTTCAAGACTTGGGGTCTTGAGAGACTAGTCGACCTAGTCAATCCGTGATTTAGCGAACCATGCGCTTCCCGTTTTCATATCACACGATTGTTGGTCCAAACATCCTTGGTCCAAATTCCCACAACCTCTTACAATTTACTACTTCGGCACTTACAAAACACGATATACAGCCAGATCCGATAAGAAACAACAACAACAATGAACTATTCCATCATCTGCTTATTCATGATCATCTGTATGATCCTAATCTCTTCCGCCAATGCTGTTGAAGGAGGATCCCACTTTTACACTCTGCCAGATGCCGAGATGGCCGCCAAAGAGCAACAACAGAAGGGATTCCGCACCAGAGGCTCCAAGAAGAGTGCAGCTGCCAACAAAGACTGGATGGGAGCACCTATTAGCCGTCAACAAAGCAAACACAGCAGCAGCAATTCATCACTCCGCAAAAACAAGAAAAAGACCTTTGAGGATGTTGTTGTCTCAACTAATACTGATGACATGATCAAGGAGTCCATCCGCAACGACCGAGTCTCTGGTAGCTCAAGCAGCAGTGTCAGAACGTCATCCTCGAAATCCCGAGAGACAAGAACGTTTGACTTTTCATAAGGAGCAGTTCAAGAATGAATGAATCAATCTGCGCGATAACGGGAGGGGAGGCCATAGCGGCAAACACGGTAGATCTATAGAATAGAGCGAAATCAATGGTGTAAACCATTGAAACGCATAACGCATACAATGATAAACGAATACAAAACATGAAGAAAAGCTACAGTACATAAAGATGATGATTGATGCAGTTTCGTACAAATCAGAATACGAACTGACAATGCGTTGGCCTCAGACAAGCATTTCATTAGTTACTCCTTCCTGCGTCACTAGCAGTCCCAACGCAAGGTGATACTGTATATGAAGAAAGAGCCAGTTCGCACGATTGATACTCCCGAAGGAGAATCATGATGGCTCCTAGGTTGCGGATTAAAAAAAATGGACCACCTTTGTATTTACAAATACTCTAGAGGTGGCAAAACCCAAAGTACGTGCTAATATCTTCAGAGTTCAATTTGAACTTCCACCTATTGTCTACTCTAGCTAACTCCATAGTGAGACCTTGAAACTGTACAATGAGACAATACAAGTACTCCGTGTTGCAATCGTGCATTTTCAAACGGCCTGCTGGCTCTTGTGTCGCTTCAGATAGCGCTGGGATATTCTTCTCAGAAACTTCGTCACAGTGCTGTCTTTTGATTGGTTCGACGGCCAATTTCGGAGACAATTCAAAATTGAAAATATAGTGCCGCCGCCAGATAGTTGGAAGAGCTCCTCCGAGTCGTTGATGACGCTTGTAGTTCCCGAGTTTTTGATTGCGGCGGGTTCTGTTGATGTTGGGGCTCATCACAAAAAAATCAACGAAACCAATCCCAACATTAGGAATGAAAGCACTCAAGGCTTCCATCCTTGCTTCATTGCTAGTACAAATTCCAGTATCAATAGCACAAAGTCTACGCCCAGAAGGTGTCGATGTTCCACGAGACTACCACGTTGTCAACCATGGTTTGAATAGCCATCAACAAAAGGTGCAACAAGAAAGTAGCCATCCTACACTTGTTGTCGAAGGACTAGGATTGCATCCTCCACATATATCGCAGCACGAAACTCTTGCATTCGACTTTTTCACTCTTCCGGATGCCAAAGAAGCTGCAATTCAGGATTACAACAAGATGTCGAAAAAACGCGCAGTACACGATTGGATGATATCACCTGCAAGCCCTCGGCATAGCAGCAAACGCGGAAGAAGCAAACCATCGAGCTCCAGCCCTTCGTCGGAAAGCTCTTCTAGGAAGGTTGATATGAGCCGGATCAGTAATGCTATTCGAAACAAAAAGGTTCCAACCAGCACTAGGTCAAGCGTGACGGCACCATCATCATCTTCGTCCACATCCTCTTCAAGCTCATCAACTTCCAGATCTGAAAAGTCTTTGTCTTTTGACCTTTCACAGGCGAAAGAACAGTAAGCAATGCAATGTGCATTTGCAGCGGTTCTGGAAAAGAAGAAAGCAAGCTAGCTACTACCGAACAACAGCAAAAGGAAACCATAGAAACAGAGATAGACTAATTTGTATTTTTAAAATTTTGTGAGCTACCACACATGAAATATAATAATGACTATTGGATTCCTTACTGTACCGGTACCTACCTGGTACCTACCTGTATTGTAGGATATTGTTGTGCTCCACCACGGTGCCTCGTTTCCATTTTCAATTTCCTCGAACATTTCAAAAAATATTCAAACGGCATGTCCATTAGGTGTCGTTCGGACACATCAGACGCGAGCTGCGCAAAGTGGCCACAAATCTCATGCGTTGGATATGTCACACCTTTAGATAATTGGCAACTTTCTCCTGCCGACACGCTATGCTCTTCCAAGTCCTTCGATCAGCAGTCCTACTTCCCTTGTCTATCGTCAAATCATCCTTGGACGCCTGCATCCCACATCTCGCAGGAACTTGGATCCAAGAAGACTACATTCAAAATGAAGACTGTCTTCGTCCCTTCAGCAAGAACACGACCGATGAAAACGATTGTTCTGGCATTGTCAATGATGCAAATGCTCGCATCTACAGTACAAGGAGAGTCACTAGGTCTTGTGGAGCAACCTTTTGGACATCCTTATATCCACCAGCATGGGCATCACACAGAGAACCATCCAGCACAGCCCGATGGCAATCAACACGATCACGGCCACCATCATCGGCATTCCAAGAAACGTGGCTCCAAAAAAAGCGGAAAACGTTATCATCCATGGAATGGAAACCATTTGCATTCTATTCATGGCAAACATGGCAAGCGACAAGGACCGGACAAGAACCACCATTACGAGCACAGTGATCTTCAAAAGAATGACAACAATCACGATTCTGACAGCCATACCATTTTGTCGGCAGAATCATTCGACACGAATCCACTGCATTCGCCCATGTCGGAATCTTCTGTGTCCTCCACTAATTCAAGCTCTTTGTCATCCTCCTCCTCCTCCTCCTCTTCCAACGCAAAGAACGAACAGGCGTATGACAAGGGGGCTGACACCACTCTTTCTACTACAAGTAAGAACACGGACAAAGCATTATCCATGAGCGACATGAAGGTTGAAACACTGAAAATTTCGCAAGCTAAAACATTGTTGCAAACCAGGATCGAAACCGAGACAAGCAAGTATCATCCTGATTCGATTGAAATAAATGTCATTTCCTTGCACGACGAAAAACATGGCGGATGAGGAGGACTAGGGAACAGGATGTTTATCTACCCAGACATACTAGCGATGCAAGCAAAAAGCGGCCCATCTACCGCTATCTTTCCGGCAAAGGACTCTCCATCTATCCTCATTGCATTTGAACATGCGGCCTTTTGGACTATATCTACTTTTGGCAGGGTATCTTTTGGCTGCTTGTTATATCATAATATCAATATTCGTATCTATCATATGTATTATACATTGACCGAGATGGTTCACGGTCAAAAACTAATTCCTTTTTCTTTACTTGATGGGTTTCAACATACAGTAATGTATTGCCTGCGTTCGCCATTGTGCACGCCCATATATTATGGTGTCTCTTCTCGGCCTCCCTTCGAATCGATAACGTCTTCTTGTTCTCCGAGCGACTCCTCAAAGTCTTTGGCATTTGCTTCCGTTGTTTTTTCTTCCACAACATTGACTGTCGAAGAATCCATGTTGGTGTCATTTCCATTTTCAAGAGATTCAATGTAGGCTTCTTCCTTTTCCCAGGTCGATTCCGGATCTTCTCCTTCTTCTTCCCCCGTGATTCCAAGAGATTCTAGGTAGGCTTCTTCTTTTTCCCATGCCGTTGGCTCTTCTGCCTCATTTTCCTTTTTTGCCTCGATGATGTCTTGTACTTCACCAGGTTGAGATATAGGAATGAACACTTTGGTTTGCTTGCCTCGGAGGTTTCTTGCTCTTGTCTTGGTCGTGCTGTCGGTTGCGACCGAAACGACGACAAGAAACCAAAGTGAAAGTGTAGAACTACAGATGACAGAGTATTTCATGGTTGCTGGAATATATATGTATTGAAGTAGTTATGCTTGTGGAGTAAAGTTTTTGTGTGTGCAAGGAGTTTTGGCAACACACTTGTTTGTTGGGAAGATACCGGAGAACAACCTTCTAGAGAGAGGAAAAAACGATTGCATGGAAAGTTTGGACTTCACGTGAAGTGTGACGCAAAGTCTTTTCGGACAAATATCGGAAAATCTCTCCTCGAACTATCCGTCCTTCTTTTCCCCTCTAAACTGTTGATGCGTGGCTGGCATTTCGGACAAAAGCCTTGAAAATCTCTCCCGTTCAGGATAAAAATGTTAAATAACATTTTAAAAGTGCCTTGGGCCTCCTCAAGTTGAAAGGCATCAACGCCACAATTTTGAAATTTGCTTCAAGGCTTCAAGCAAGCCCTTTTTGCATATTTTCATCATGTCGTCTAACGAAGAACCCCAAGAACAGCACCCTGACGACGATCGTACTCTTGGTACCACGAACACTCGCGAGCTAACAAACAAACAAGCCATGAACTCTCGACCAAAAGAAACCGCTCCAAATGAACAAGATGCTGTTCTTGGCGGCAGCAACAATAACAACAACACGGTGACGAATTACGATGATGATGCCCACTATCTTGAGCCAAGAGGTTTGAACGAGATTCCCAAGGTTTTAAATGTACTGCACATTGTCGGAGCCTTGGTTCAGACTGCAGAGGCCATCTTTTTGTTTGCCTTTGCGTCCAATATCAATTTGAAATGGTTGCTGTACACCAACTACCCCGTTGCCGTCGACAACGCGCTGGCATCTCAAATCGGGGGAGAAGGGACCGACAATGTCTACTTTGCTCGACCGGAGAGCAAGTATTTGACAAGCTTTAGCGTTCCTTGGGTCACGGGAGCAATCGTGCTGCTCAGTGCCATTGATCACATTTTCGCCATTATGCCAGGAGGTCGCCAACTCTATGAGCACCACTTGGCACGCAACAAGGCATCCTTCCGTTGGTTGGAATACGCCGTGTCTTGTTCTTTGATGAACATGCACATCTCTCAGCTGGTCGGTGTCACGGATGTCCACATCATTATTTTGGTCTTTGTCTTGTCGATTTCCATCCAGTACCCAGCGTACATTCATGAAGTGGTGAATGCCAGGGCAAGAGAAGAAGGATTTGCTCAATACTGGTCTCCCTTTATCTTTGGATGCATTCCATGGGTAGCCGTATGGGGTGTGATCTTCTCATACTACCATCAGTCGATTGCAACTGTTGGAGAAGACCCACCATCCTTTGTTCTTCCAACCATCGTTGCCGTCTTTGTATTGGAGGGTCTCTTCCCCATTTTGTTTGTTCTTCAATGGCTCAAGGTTGGTATCTTCAAGAACTATGTAGTTGGAGAATATGGTTACATGATCTTGGGACTGATCGCAAAGTCGTCGTTGGCATGGATCACATTGATCGGAGCGGAGAAGTACGCTGAGAGTTTCCAATATGAGGATGAGGACATGACTGACGTCTTCTTCTCCGAGCCGTGATTGTACATACATGTGTTAAAAGTTAAAAGTTAAAATTAAAATAGAAACAAAGAAAGACCCAGCTGCTAGGTCTAGTGGATCATCGTAGTTGGAGAGGTGGACGAATCGATAAGAACAAATAAGTGACAACAGTATTGAACAAAAAGCGCGTTGCGCGCACAGCAAAGGTTGCGCAACGGGTCCTTCTCTTCTTTCAAACACATCTATTAGGATCGAAGTTGTAAGACACGTCAATGTTGACTATAGGCATAGAAAAGAATCATATACGACCTTATAGAACCTCAGCAAAGTGTATTTCATTTTCAACCAATTGCAATCTCAGATGTAGAGGAGGTATAAGAAGCTCAATAAAGAGTGCTCCCATTTGACCGGAACGAGAGACGGTATCAAATCAAGTTACAGAACGTAGATACGCGAACACGATGACACCGTTCAGAGTAAGACTACGCGGCAAATTAATCAGTGCAGCCGTGATAGTGGCCGCAGTACTGCTATTAGTATTTTTGGTTGGCACGAATGACGGTGAGGGAATTGAAGCGCAAAGTGATTGCGAAAATCCTCTCGATGTCTAGAAAATAGAGAAGAAGAAGTGACGCAGAGTGGTGCCAGCGATCTGTGGAGAGATGAAAGTTTAGAACACAAATCGGACATGGAAGTGATGAGAGAGACCACGAAAGACTACAAGGATCGTGACTGGTATCGTGAGACATGGAAGGGTAGTCTACAAGCCAAAGACGGATGGGCTAAGATTGATGTTGAAGGTAAAAGAATATACGAATATACAGATAACGAGGAAAGAAACTGCAATGAGTTACCTCTTGACATCATAATGAATGAAGCGGAAAAAGCGGGTCGGTTGCACAGCGGCGTAATTGGCGGCGAACAACTGGTAGGATGGCAAGGATGCTTAATATCCAGAAACAGAGATAACGGAGAACCTTCTACTGTAATAGACGTAGCAAAGAAGAGAGAGAGAGTAGAGGGCAGTGGCACTAGGAGGCTGATACCTGCATATACACTACTAAGGAACCAGATAGTGTTGCACACCGCTTCAGTGGCAAACTCAGATTTCTATGTAAGCGTAAAGAACATATTCAATCCTCCGCTTGCGCCAAATACAGGAGCCAGGCTAGATTATGTCGATCAACAGCTGGGGACCAATTTGTTGGTCGCAGCTGCGAGGGATTCTGCGAACAGGAGCTGGGGTGGTTTTGATATAGTACACTTAATTCAATTCGGGGAATCTGGCACGTCAGCTATGTTGCAAGTGGCGAGGAATGGGCTCAAACAACCAACGCAGTTATTCTGGTTGAAAGAAGGGCACGGTGTATACCACGGAAGAAACGTAGTCGGGAATGCCAACGTGGTGAATTGCATTCCGAACTTCAAATCAGTTTTCGTCGCGAATAGCGTTCAGGCTGAAATGTGTATCGAAATAAGGCAAGAGACGGAGTCAGGTTCGGGGTGTTTCGGATCATCAGCGGAGTCAGGGACATACAGGAGATATTGTATTGACTCCCCTACCAATGGGTTGGACGATATAGGTGGAGGCTTGCAGAAATGGGATGCAGAGATCGGAAGAACAGACGAGATAGCAGCATACGGATCATTCTCGGCGCACGAAAGTATGATGGGTGAAATATTACTCATTTTAGGCTCGGACCCATAGTAGGATAGACCAGAGTATGCGGATAAAATAGCACAGACGCCTATCTAGTGATTGGTACGGTGACGCGTTAGCTTGTTGATAATTATAATCGTGCTCCACAACCATGCAAGATCTATAGTATATTATTCACTATTATACAGTCTTTCGATCGATTATATGCGACGCACTGCAAACACTAACGTTGTGCTGTCGCTACTTGAAGTAGTAGTAGTGGTGGGTTCGTTTCTCGTATTACTCGGTTGTGGCCGATATAATACCACCAGTAAGTGTATTGTTCTTGGATACTGGTATGTATTCATTTGATTCCTGTTTCAATGACCAAATAGCTTGGAAAAGAATGATTGACCAGTACCATCTTGAACACCCAATACATTGGTTACTTCATCTTCTCGGATCAAAACTGGTTCCTCCGCAGCATCCAGTTGATTCAACTCGGAAACTTCGAATTCTCCCACGACAGCATCCATGGAATGAGAATTCAGAGCTAAATCATCTCCTTGATCCTCCATCGGTTCGGTTTTTGTGGCTGATTCCACAAGCTCTTCCAGAGTTTCTTCCATGACTTCCATGCCCTCTTCCAAAATGTCCTTGGTGCCGCCAATGGCATCAAAGCTTTCTTCTTCCCTGGAATCTTGTGTTTCTGACCTGTCCGAGGAATCTACAATGACCACCATGTCGTCTTGGTCGCTACCATCCATGTCATCGTCCGTGTAGCCTCGCAATGCCGCTGCCGAGTCATCGTCATCGTCTTGCTGTTTTTGTTCTTGTTGAACTTGTTCATTGACATGCACTTCAGTTTCCGAGCTCTCGCTCACAAGGAACGAATCATCATCGCCACCTTGAGCGTAAAGACTCTTTAGAATTTCCACTTCATTTTCGTCTTCGTTTTCATCTTGACTGCTTCTGGAAGGAGCCGAAATGGAAATGCTGGGATTGGAGGGCCTCGAGATGGAAATGCTGGGATTGGATGGAATGGAGGCTGAACTCGATTTGGAAGATGGACTGCTGCTACTGCTGCTGCTCGAGTCATCGCTGGGAGAGGATGACGAGGATG